CAATGGCTGCGTTCAGCAGACTCAACAGTTTTGCAACCGTTTTATGATTGTCTGCTGAGATAGGACCATTCTTCTAGATCTAAAAGTATGATCCAATTAGCGCGAAGGAAACTTCCAACAGTTGCAAAACAAACGTTCTGCTGAACGCAGCCTTTCATAATTTATTTAAAGACATGGCTACGGTGGATAATGAAGAAAAGTTCTTTTGCACTTGAATCCCTTGGTATTTTGCACTTTTCCATTCTTTTGTACTTTTTTCGTTTTTTTCCGTGGCCGTAGGCCGGTAAAGATAAAGTTGAGTCAACTTTTCGGTTACAGTCAAAATCAACAAATTTTTGCCGGCTATTATAAATGGTAATATGGGTTTCCTATCTTCCAACTTTTACGGCACCGGTCGAAGTTAACGGTTACGGCCTATTATAAACGACGCTTAAAGTTCAACCATAGGATTTTAATGGCTACGTTTACACAGTGCGCTTAGCCGCGACCTATACGATAGGTGTCTTTGTCTAATATACAGGATAAACAAAGCATCTATTGTATAGGTCGCGGCCTAAATGCACGGTGTAAACGTAGCCATTGCTTTCATCACCGACAAGATACTATTAAAGATCGTTAACCCTGGGCAAATTTTCGGCGGTATAAAAAGGGCCCCAAGGGCCCGGAGGTAATCGAAGAATACTGACATTATCGACAATTGATATAAATTTATTAACTATTATTAACATAAATATTTGACTAATACATTATTAAATTCATGATATTTTATTACATAAATGCTCTATAAATAAATATGCATATTTGTAAAGCTATAATATCCTATATATTGCCGAAAAATTACAATTTTTTTTCTCTGCAGTTATTATCTTTGTTGATAATCGAACTTTGACGATAACACTGAAATCACAATTTTAAAGAAAAATCGAGTATTATTGAGTTTTAAATGCACGTACACCGATAAACACGTCTACTAAACTAATAAATCATAAAATTAGTACAATATTATCAGTTTTTTTACTCTTAATCACTTCAATATTAACAAGGACGCGAACTCCCATAAGGATGTCGATCTTTAATAATATCTCGTCGGTGCTTTCATTCATACTAACTTGCCGTATTAGTATGAACGAAAGCATCGAAATCCTATGGTTGAACTTTACCGGCACCGGCATAAGTTAACGGTTACGGCCATTATAAATCAGGCTTTACAGTAGATATATATGCTTCACAATTATCATTTTTTTTCAATGTTTCTTAAATGTAAGAACATAATACTGCAATAACATAATACTGCAAGAACATAATGCTGTATAAGATATAAAGCTGGTTCTACATTAGTCACATTGCAATGTCGCAAGCGTGTCGCAACCGTTGTGATCCAATCAGAGTCGAGCTAGATTGATATTGATTGGACCACAACGCTTGCGACGCTGCGATGCAACTAATGTAGAACCAGCTTTAGATATAATTAACGTTGTAATAAATATTGTAATACATTATATTCAATTTAAAATTAATTCTTTTCCCTTCTTTTTTTTTTTAGTGCCGACAGTATTCATTGGACCTGAAAACTAGAGTCCTAGATTTATCAGAGGCGCAACCGGCTTAAGTCAGTATGACAAAGGTACTAGGAAGGGTACTAAACATGCTATGAAAACTGCCTTTAAACTGTCAAACAAGATAAGACAAAGTAATATAAAATTATATTTAAATGAATCGTATCAATTCTTTAGAGGGAATATTTACGTATTAAGTCAGTTGATTAATTGTCATTATAATCGCTTTTGCGTATCACCATAACCTCTTATAATTTGCACTGCTGTTAACGGAGTAAAACTTTACTCGATGGTAAAGATTCTCGATAAAATTATTCTTGAAATTAAAAAAAACATTATTGCATCACTCAGATAAATAATTCTGCATGATATGTAGAAGAATTTCATATGGTTTAATCTATGGAGTATTCCAACTGTTTGAAATGAAGTAATTTTAAAGTCATTTGTGATTGCTTGTTCGTAAATTAAAACAGAAATGTTTGAAGATAAGATATTGTATAATTGCAGGTACGATTGCAGTATTATATTCTTACATTCAAGAAACATTGAAAAAAATGATAATTGTGAAGCATATATATCTACTGTTAACGAATAAATAATCAGGACTTTCTGTATAATACCAGTAATAACAATTTAGTCAGCATGGATACTGTTCAAGAGCAAGAGTGAGATAGAGTGAGGTAGAATGTATAGGATAAAATGAAATAGAAATATGTCACTAGTACTATAAATGGCTGCCAAGTCATGTGATTGCAACAGCGAATCAGAATGCGTAACACCGGTTGCGCCTCTCTGATAAATCTAGGACTCTACTGAAAATTCGCTTGAAGTTTTTGGGGGGGTTCTTTTGCCTGTATTCATAGTCAGACCTTATACTTAAGGCTTCCTTAAATTTATCTTTTAGATGCTCAGTAGCCAATGAAATAATTCGTAGAGCATCTGAAGATAAATTTAAGGAAGCCTTAAATATAATGCCTGACTATGAATACGGGCCTTTGTTCATCTAGAGGGAATTGGCGTTGTTTGTGGGGGGGTTTTGGCTGTGGCCATCTGGCAACATTGATGCACTCAACCACCTACAACTATGCTTACGCAAATGTAGAATAGGCTTAACACGCCATATTTCGTGGACTTCGGGGACGCGCTCGTTATTAGCTTCAGCATCCATAGCCATAGTGGTGAATCGAAGGGAAAAAATACATTCTCTCTCTCCTCGTTAACCTGCGATGTCGAGTTGATTTTTAATTCCCGGTGCACGCTCAAAGCTCCATTTTTTTAAACGGACCAGAGCGCTGAATATGGCCAGCAAAGTATGGCATACAGAATTGTGGAAGTCATGGGATAAGCATGGGAAAAATGATTTGTAAGTGGTGTTGTTAGCGCGTCGCCTGGTCGACGCGATCGACACGGTGCATTGCTGGTCGCGAAAACACTTATCTTCTCCCCGTTAACTCGCTCTACTGAAGACTTAATTTGTCAATTCACGACTGTTTGCAGCCTCAAGCTAATCAAGCACAAATTTAAGGAAGGCAACACACCAGGTAATAAG